ACATTTTATCAATATTTCTAGATATGGTACATAGTGTAGGAACAACTCATTTCATTCCTTGTTTCAACATTTTATTATATTCCATACTATATTCTCTTAAAATTATTTATAGAAGTTTATTTTTAATGTCTAGTGCCACTTTCAATGGATTACAATCGATGCTAGGTTCAACAATAAGATACTGCAAAGTTCGAGATTAAGACGTCTCATGGTAATAGTTTTATCTAGTACAGAGCACTATTAAGAGACAAAAGTCGCAGTTTCACAAGTGAAAATGTTTTCAGTCGCAGTTTCACAAGTGAAAATGTTTTCAGATAAGCAGTTTCTAGCAAGTGAAATGTTTTCAGTCGCAGTTTTTCACAAGTTGAAAATTGTTTTCAGTCGCAGTTTCCACAAAGTGAAAAATGTTTTCAATCGCAGTTTCCAACACAGTGGAAAATGTTTTCATGTCGCAGTTTCACAAGTGAAAATGATTTTCAGTACGCAGTTTCAACAGTGAATAATGTTTTCAGTCGGCAGTTTCGCAATAGATGGAAATGTTTTCAGGTCGACAGTTTGACAATGTGAAAATGATATTTCCAGTCGCAGTTTCAGCCAGTGAAAATGTTTTCAGTCGCAGTTATCGCAGTGAAAATGTTTTCAAGTCCGCAGTTTCGACAAGTGAAAAATGTTTTCAGATCGCAGTTTCCGCAAGTGAAAAATAATTTTTCAGTCGCAGTTTCGACAAAGTGAAAATTTTTAGAATCCGCGTTTCGCAAGTGAAAATGTTTTCAGTCGCAGTTTTTCGCTAAAGTGAAAATGTTTTCAGTCGCAGTTTCGCCACAAGTGAAAAATGTTTTCAGTCGCAGTTTCGCAAAGTGAAAAAATGTTTTCAGTGCAGCTATTTCTCCCAGTGACAGCAATGTCTTTCAGTCCGCGTTTCGCCACCCAAAAGAATGAAAATTGTTTCTCAAAGCCTCGATTGATTCTTATTCGATATCAAGTTGGTTAAATAAGCTTTTTTAGTTGCTGAAAAGTACATTATGTAGACACACACAATTAATAAAACTATCCCATTACATCTGCAACACAAAATTTTCTTCGGGCACCTACAACTGCTACATTTCAAATCTTCTGTATTTTTTTTTTACCAATACTACTTATAAGTATATGAAAGATTACATGGCATATATTATCAATATGCTATGATATATTTTCTCCATTAGGGAATGGTGAAAACACTAGGAGTCATCAGAAAATGAGCGATGATTGGAATTTTTCAATCTAAATTATGGGTTCCGCTCAATATTAATTACCTCTTGGCTCGTAATATTGAACGAAGAAGCGAATTTTGATATTATGAACGTTTCGAAATTATTAGGGTGTCCTAAGTATATTAGAGAATTTTAATAACTTTTCGACACTGATAGAACGAAGGCTGTGGTGAATGTTATGCACTGAAATTCATTTTGGAAATTTACTTTAAATTGAGAGACAAACTTCAAATATTCTTAAACAAGAATGATAACATAAGCGGTTTCTATATTCTATACGGAAGGTTTGGCGGAAAACGCGGAGCTTTCAACAAGCATCCAAGCTGCTGGGTCGACGCCAACAAATTTTGGACTACCATGGGGATAACACTTTTATATACGTCTTGAATTTATAATTTGTATTATTTCTTATCCACGTTAACGTCAGCGCATCGGGTAAGATTTTTTTCCATGCTAGAGTCTCGTTATATTTCCTGAATTACTAAAGGCCCATACATTCACGTATGATGATATTTCCTTTTCTGGCGCCAGCTACGTAGAAACCTGCTAACAGTTCCGTAAATAAGGGGTGAAGTCTGTTCGGATTAGGAAAAATTTGATTATTAAAATGTACCGTAACCTACACAAAACATCTAAAGAGACCATTCAGAATTTTCAAACGTAAGCGCCATATTGAGAAAATGGGAATGTAGGAGACATAACAATGAGGAAGAGCATATGGTTGTCATAACATTACGCATACAGATTCGTACGATATCCGTCGCTTAGAGTAGTTGCTACATGTTTAGAAAGTTGAAGTCAGTTTGTGCGCTGTTAACGAGTTATTTTTTACCGTTTCAAATGGTTTAAGCGCTACAGATTAGTTAATGGAGTTTGTATATAATATAATTAAGTGATTTATATTCAGTTCAGTGAATTTTTGGTTTACGTTTGTCCTACATTCCAATTTTTCGAGGGTATCAGCTTTAGGATGCGTGGAGTCTCGGCGGGGTTTACTGACGTCCATGTCTTTAGACTGTGAGAGGTCCTTGTACCAAGTTGAGAGTATGATTGCGACAAGCAACTAGAGGATCATTAATATGGATCTACGTATGGATCTCACATTACTAATAAATCAACGTTCAAGCGGGTGACCGCTAGAATATCAGACGGCGAGTGCGTTGTTGAATTCACATAGCTGTCGAGTTGTAGCGGTTCGAAAATGCTGCACAGCGAGACCAAACTGGCCTTCCGACCGAAGACACTGAAGCGAAAACACACTGTTGTACTAATCGTGTGAGCACTATGTTTGTATTCAAGATTCCACTTCCACGAAATTCTCACAATTTTATATTGAATGGTTGTCAACTTTCAAAGCATTTGGAAAAACTGAAATTTCCTTGGACTCATCAGCACATTTTCCCTACAACGAATTTCACAACGCTTGAATATAACGTGATCTATTTAACTCTGAAATGAGAGTAATGAGAAACCTAATGCAAACACTTTAAGACTATTGAAAATATTTCCAACATGATTCTAAGATATATAAATATTCGATTTTTTTCAGTCGCTCTAGCTTCCATTTAGGCAAGGCCCGTAAATAGTATTTTCTGTTACAGTGGAAGTAAAATCTGAATTACTAATTTTGATGCGCGTAGAACTTGGGAACGAAAGAATAATCAGCCGCCGATAATTGAGCGTGGGTCAGCGGCTTTTTGTATCCCAGGAACAAAGAAAATTAAAATAATAAAACCGTTTCCATTTTAATTAAATAATAAAATATGATGCTGTAATCACCTATCTCATATTGCCGTGCCCACTGGGAGCTCTCCAACACTAATTTGTCAATGCTTAACTGACGTCACGACAAGAACCAAGGAAGAGCGCGCTTTTTTTATAATTTTCACTTCGTCCTGGGTACAAAATAGAAATAAAGTTAAGAAGCAAATATGTATTGTAAATCCTGTGCAGTTTTCAGACGGTGATGGATTCAGTTACTACTCTAAGACGCAGGTTTCGCAGTAAAATGTTTTCAGTCGCAGTTTCGCAAGTGAAATTTCAGTACATTTCGCAGTGATTCTAGCGCAGATTTCGCTAGTGAAGCATGTTTCAGTCGCAGTTTCGCAATGAAATGTTTTAAGTTAGTCTAAGTTCAGATGTTTTCGTCGCAGGTTTCGCAATGTTGAAAATGTTTTCAGTCTGACGTTTCGCAAGATGATTGTGTTCGCATAATGTGTTTCCCAGTTGGCGATTTCGCAAGTGGATATGTTTTCAGTCGCAGTTTATCCGTGCTAAGGTGAAAATGTTTTCAGTCAGGCAGTTTCGCAATGTGAAATGTTTCAGTCGCAGTTTCGCAATTGAAATGTTTTCAGTCGCAGTTTCGCAATGTGAAAATGTTTCAGTCGCAGTTTCGCAATGTGAAACTGTTTTCCAGTCGCAGTTTTCGCATTTGAAAATGTTTTCAGTCGCAGTTTCGCAACTCGTGAAAATGTCTTCAGTCCGCAGTTTCGTCATGTGAAATGTTTTCAGTCGCAGTTTTTCGCATGTGAAAATGTTTTCAGTCGCAGTTTCGCAATGTGAAAATGTTTTTCAGTCGCAGTTTTCGCAATGTGAAATGTTTTCCAGTCGCGAGTTTCGCATGTGAAATTGTTTTTCAAGTCGCATTTCGCATGTGGAAAATGTTTTCAGTCGCAGTTTCGCAATGTGAAAATGTTTTCAGGCGCAGTTTCGCAATGTGAAAATGTTTTCAGTCGCAGTTTTGCAAAGTGAAAATGTTTTCAGGCGCAGTTTCGCAATGTGAAAATGTTTTCAGGCGCAGTTTCACAAGTGAAAACGCTTTGTTACAAAAATCGCCAATTATCAAAGCAGTAATATGGAACCTACTTTCAGCAACGCAAAAATGTGTAGACTATTTTTATCAATAATAGTTAGGTCTAAATATTGTTCTATGGCTAATATTAAAAGTACATTATTTTATAATTCTCATTATGTAACGTTATTAACGGAATTAATTATTTTGACTTAATTGTTCATTGCGTTTTCTATTCACATTTCCCTGCCAAGCATAATCTTGTTTCTCATGTAATTGTGTGGTACTATGTGTAGACATTGTTCAGTTGCTTTTTTAAGACATTTCTAATGGTGCAAACGAGTGAGATTGTTACTTCCACAGTAAAATGTGAATATGACTATTGAATCACGTGATCAGAAACCTAAATAGGCCAAAATGTATCGTGCTCGGCCTGTCAATCCGCATTAAAACACATTTTTTTCAAGCAAACAAGCCTTTGCGTAATACTGCATGTATTAATTTTCCATTATTTCAGGCATGAAAAATGTGTTTCTGAATTATTGTGGAAAACTATTGATAAAATGCAGTTTTTTTTGCATAGACCTTTTGTGTTTTGGAAAAGTATGTTCGATCGTACTATCGAATTGATAGTCATACGATCATGCGCATTTTTAAGAAAATGTATGGTGAACGATGTAGAAAACGTTGAGCCCCAAAGTAATATTCATAATGTAACGTTCACATTCATAATAGAAGACCAATGGATTGGATTGCTAAGATCTTGAAGATTAAAAGTTCTATTATTGTAATATGCATTTTTAAGCCCAAGCATTATTACCAAGCCAACTGTGAATATATTTATTTTTCACAAGCTGGCGTGAAAGTCATACACGGTTTTCACCATTAGACAAGTCTTTATAGTCATATTTCGTAACCTCTCTGATTAACAATGTAGATTTCGCTGTTTTTCGCAGTGAGAGTTGCTGTCTCCTAACTATGAGGAGTCCCTGGAGTTACAGTACTAGCTGCGCACTTTGTGCTCGAGCTCACTTGTCCGCAACCAGGACGGCATAGCACGACGCGGTCGAAAAGTAAGTCTTATCCTTGGCATCTATCAGCATAAAAAATATTCGACCTGGCGATCTTTCTGCCGGTTTGTTGTAGATAGTGCCCTTCTTTTCACTTGTATTTTGGGCTTGTTTGATTTCGTTTAAGACTTCAGAATTGTTATTTTACTGTTCAATATTTGTGCGGTTGTTTGCAGTGCTCTGTCTCGTTAACTTAAAATTATCAGCTTTCAATATTGTAGATTATAAGATTATTAAATATTAAGCCTGGATTGCAGTACGAATTTGGCCCCTGAAACGCACATAATGTATTTAATCAAGACTTAACCCAATTAATATGATCAATCGCATTTAGGAATTGATATGAAATATATTAAATCCTTCTTTGCTTCGAATGTAACAATAATACCCTCGAATGCATCAATTTGCCTTCAGTCCAGCAGCAATTGAAACAACTGAAGGTAAATTAGAAGAGGCAGACTTAAGTCGCCCTCTTTAATCGCTCAACAATAACGTTGTAAATGTGGAACATGTAACCCTCATCGTGCCAACTGAAGTTTCCCATGGTTTTTCTCTGCTTCTGTGTATGTATATATGTGTATATGTATATATGTATGTATATATGTATATGGGTGAACGCCGTAATAATAGATTTTGCGAAGGCATTTGTTTTCCCACACGATAAACTGGTTCAGAAATTACTGCATTCGGCTATTGGCACTAGAGTTGTGGCGTGGATTGCTGAGCGTCTTCGAGATAGGAAACAGTCTGTGGACAACAATTTTCATCTCTAGCAAAGGTAACTTCAGGGATCTCTCAAGGAAGCGTCATTGGACCTCTTATCTTTCTCGTGCTTCTGAATGACTTGCCGGACAATTTATTTTCAAAAGTAAGGCTATTTGCAGATTTTATAATATACAGAGTTATTCAATCAAAAGAGGACGAGGTTATTTTGCAGGGTGATATAAATAGACTACATTTCTGTGCGGAAAAAATAGCGTGGCAATAAATAGTTCGAAAAGCAAAACCATCACGTTTGGCAGGGGCCGCAAATATAGTGAAACTCAATACTGTTTAGGAAATGAAAATATTCCTCAATAGACCACGTACTGTAGTAGAGAGGATAACAAGCACAAAATTCAGTTCAGACCACAGAGAAGAGATGTTGGAAAATTTTCCTTCGCAAATAGAAAAATAACGAACTGGAAAAAGTTGCCTGTGATAGCCTTGGAACCCTTTCTTCTAGATGTTCAAGTATTTAAAAGTAAATTAACTAACCATATTTATAACATTGATTAATTTGTAAGTTAGGCTTCTTAAGACAGTTATTGTATTTATTATTATTACTACTACTATTATTACTATTATTATTATTATTATTGAAATTATAATATATAGTAAGTGTGTTGTGATAATTACTATTAAATGCAATGCTTCATTAAATATATAATTATATTCAGTGTATTATTTGTAATGAAATGTGAAGTTTAGTGCAGTAGAGAAGTAGAAAGAGAAGTGCAGGTGTTGTGAAGTGCAGTGTAATTAAAATGTGTATTTATTAGTTAAAAAGATCTGTGCAAGACTAAAATGTAGTTAATGTTATTATTGCCTTTATTCTTCTTGTTATTGTCTTAAAATTTAAAGTTTTATTATATTAATACTCTTAATTGTAATATGTAAATTGTAGTATTGTACCACCAGGTTGCATAAACCGGCCTGCAGAAATAATATATGCACAGGTGAGTCACGTACCTTGAGTACCTTGTGTAATTTTTGAACAGTTGAAATTATCGCAATGTAATTTTCACGGAAGTGCACAAGGGTATCAGGCGAATTGCTGTATGTATTTGTTTTTATTTTATCTCTTGTATTTTATCTCTCCAGAAATTTGGCGCAGCATAGGAAGATAATAGTTATAAATTCTTTTGTACATCTAAATATTTTAATGATCAGAGAACACACTTTACAAATAGTATTTACAAATCGGCAATGCGCAGCTTGGAAACAAGCCGCACGGTCCAAACTGCTACCTTGATGTTTTAAAAGCCACTGTTTCCTTGGAGGCGACGGGGCCGTTCGTGCGACGGCGCGGTGGCTTCGGCAAGGCTTCGGTTCGCGTCCGAAGTCCGCGGGCAATTAAGCCCTCTCTCGGCGCAACTCCTCTGGCCACCGTAACGGGCCGATGATTCGAGCGGGGTCCACCCTCCAGCGGATGGAACAATGTCTCACGGGTACTGGTCGACGAGCGTGATGATGTTCGTCGCTGTTCTACGTCTTTTCGCGACTTTCTAACTTGCGCGCGCGGATGTCGTCCAATACTGCCACTGTTATATTATACAGGGCGGGATTATGACGAGCACGCAACACGATTTCCTGTCTTATTGGGTTTTTTTATCAGTTCTGGTGGCAATTCTACTTCCACTAATCATCTGAATGTTAATCCTTATCAAACCTGGTTCACCTCATCGGCGCACAACTCAGTCCGAATTGCACTTAAAACGACAATAAATCCTTGGACACAGCGCTGGCCCGTCCGTGCTTCACTCGAGGCCTCTCCGCGCACACTAACCGTGCTCGCCTGCGCCGTATCCCCCCCCCGCCAGATTTTGAACGTTGGTGCGGCGGCGGCGTTACTGCGCTGATCAACTCCAGTACTTATTTTAATTTATAATTAGTGTCATTGTAAATTGTTCTAATTACAGAAACGTTCTTCGTTTCAATATATATATATATATATTATATATATATATATATATATATATATATATGATATATATATATATATAAAATGCATTGTTTTTATTCGTATCGTATTTAAATAGTGGTTTGAATTAAATCGGTCATGTGGGCGCGTTGTTGAGGATGACTCGCGTTGATGACTAGGGCCCGGAAGTTCATGACACTAAAATATGTATGCAAATATACACTTAAAAATGTAAAATGTTTCGTAATAAATTCTAAACCCGGAATGCAATAATATTGTCAAGAATTCCATCACTGTTACATTTTTTACTCTCGTCTTACGAATTATTCGTAAGATGAGAAAGTTACGTAATCGTGTTCTATGTAAGACACATTCAGAAGGTACAGCAAGATCTTTTCTTTATTTGAGGCTCCCACTATAACGTTTGCAATGAATTGTCGCTCAACGATGGTAATTTCATCCATATATATCAACACGAATTGATTTGCTTGAATTTCTTGAATAGCTGCTAACGCTATTTAACAACGTCCCTCGTGTCTTACGCAGTGCACCTTCATAAAGTGCATGTTTCTGTGTTTATTTTCTGTGAAGAGTTTTTAAAACTGATTTACCATTGGGAAATATCTGCTGGTAAATACTTTTTTTTAACGTAGGTCCATAGAAAACTCTTTATTCTGCTCTCTAAATTCTGTTTTTCCATCAGTTGTTCCTGAACGCCATTTGAACTACCTGTTTTTGCCACATACTTTTTTCACACGCTTTACCAATCAATTCGACCATTCGTTGGAATCGTCACTTGCAAATTCACTTTGTGAGCCATATACTGCAGTACTTGAATCTGGTGATTGTGTTTTTGGCGTAGTTAACACTACTTGTGAAACATTAACTCGCACGAAACCAATTGCACGTCTAACCGCTACAAGCACGCGTCAACGTTTTGTTCTGCACGCAGCGACCGGAACTCAAAACTAGAGAAACCCATTTACGTGTTTGGCTTGTATAGTCTTCCCCAGCGATAGTGCAATATCGACCGGAATTTTAACACCTGAAATTACTTGAAACATATCTCGGACAAGTACATAAAGTTTCTCAAAGGCAGTGTAATAGCGAACGCATGTCAAAACTAGGATATAAAACAAACCCATACTCACGAGAATGTCTTCCATCTATTAGAATGTTGGCAGAGCGTAGCGTGCAACGTTAACATACACATGGCCAATAACGTGTGAAGTACAATACTCTACAATAGCTAAGCATTTCCGTGTTCACTAGTTTACTAAATGTAGGGACACGATTTATCCACTTTTTCTTTACCAAGGCTCGACCATTTTCTGGCGCACAATTACAAGATTTTATCTTCTTACGAAGTATTGGTGAGAATGTAAAAATGAAGCATGCGTTATTTTTCTGTATAGAAAATATCGTTTGACTATCGTGCTCCTTGTGTCACAATCGAGAATTTTTCTTCGTTGCTATGCTTGTGGTGTTCCGTTTGTGCCGTTTGTTTTGAGAGTGTTCTAATGTGTTGCATTGTGAAGTGATTTGTGAGGTGAGAAGTAAAACGGTTAACACATGTAGAGTGTTGTAATGACTTCTCGCTCCGTGCTCAGTTCCAACCGAACCTAACTTTGTTACCATAGATGCAATGTTCAGCTGTATCAACTTCAGCGCTTTTTGCGGCGTGCGGATCCCGTGTAGAAAACAAATTGTGTCTGAAATGTGCATGAACGTTTCGTTACCGAAATGGAGCATAAAAACCAAACATTCCTTTTTATCCATTTTATGTAAGAAAAAGGACCAAAATAGGGCCATATAAAATCAAGCTTTAAGGAAACGTCGCACTCCGACAATTTTGTAACAAACATTTAAACCCTTCGCCCTTCCACATCGGTAATCGAGAGATGCGGTAATCGAGTCTTTCCAGGCACACACGCGTTGAACAATCGGCAAGTGCGTGTGAACTAAACACATGCGAGGCTACAAAAAACACGCAGTGCTAAAACATCACGTACTTTCTCGCTTTAAGTAATAGTTATGTAGTACTATTTATACCACAATTTATCTCCGAATTATCACATCTCAATCATGTAATCAGTTTTAGTGTTTTTAATTTAAATTTAACTCTATATCTCGGATCTTAGATTTTTTAAATATAACATTAACTGTATTCTTTGCACAATTTTCTTAAATATACAGTAATTTCTTATCAAAATTTTGATACTTAAGACCAATAATGACTCTTTACATTGAAAATCGTACTTTTTGTATTTTTTACAAGTTTTTTTTAGAATCTCATGGCGAATGCTGTATTTAGGAATAA